AAATTGCATTTGAAAACCATGCTCTTGCGCTTCTCCACCTTTTTATCACCAACATGCAGCCACACTTTCACATATGGATCTGCAAACAATCATATAACTTCGAATCAGTGAGGTCATAATATTATAAACATAAACTCAAATTCTAAGTATGATTTAATATTATATTTATTAGTATGTGATATTAGTGTCTAGGTATCCCAAAGGCATTTTTCGTGTCTAGGATATTATGTTTATTTTATATTTGTGAAAAATATATATTATGCAATATTTCTWCAGCTCATAATAAATATTAAATACTTATTGCTTGGGTCAACGACTCAACTCAGCTGAGATTAAGGGGACTAACATACGCTAACTGAAAATGGACCCAATCTATGTGTGAGCAATAAAGTGGTTGTACAGGTGCACAACCTATGGCCTAGTATTTGTGGTAAACATTTTACGCACAATTGCTATGTTAGATACTAATAGTAGGTACAATGATACATCCTTTGGAAACAATCAAAATCTAATATTTATACAAATAATATTTATTAAGTTTGGTTTTCTTACCAATAATCATAACCATATATACCAAAATAACACTTCATGGAGTGTGGTCTGTAATTGAGAACAGACACAGACTGTTTCTATACAAACATGCCATATTATATGATATAATGATATTGTTGCTCTCAAAAACAATTATTTTCAGATAAGAAAAATTGATAAAGTAGATTCAAAGTAAACATCAATTATTTTAACCACCATTACAATCATCGATGTTTTTTTTTTTTTATAATGCCCTGGGGCTTTATTATTTAAACGACCCAAAGGTCTTTATAAATATGTTTGACAATTACACATATTTTACATACTTTACATAAAATATATATGTTTATTACACGTTGATGGAGTCACTTCCAATGAAGTGTCTCCTGCCTTAATCTAAAATCTTAAACTAAGTCGTAWGGTTTCAGACGCTTAAGACGTCGGATATCCTTGGAGTTATCTAATAATTGAATGGCCAATGGATTGACATGGTGATCTAGCCTCGTCTCGTGTTTGCGAGCAAACCTTTGGATTTTGTCTGCTATTGTAGGCAGCATCAT